TTTACACCCCTTTTTTAAGAGAAGACATTAAAGAAGTATTTTAATTAGAAATAGGCCCCCAAATATATTGTTACTGAAATCAATTCATGGAAAAGCCACTCATCCTCACGTGGAAGCCTACAGCAAAGAGAAATGTGTCAATTCAGGAATCCCTGCTATTTAAGTATGCACTTACATAAAGCAGCAAATCAGACACATTTCTTTAGTGAATTTAAGTACAAATAAAGAAATATTGGCCCAAACCCCAGATTCTCTACTCCTGCAGAAATCATTCTGTAGTCTGTGAATGTTTTTCTTAAGGAATGAATAAAAATTTAATAAGGCTTCTTAGCTTCTTATTTGGGATATATATTCAGTTCTTACCCAAATACATTCTTGTTCTCTTTCTGAAAAATAAATTTAGAGACAACTGCATGTGCTCAAAGCTCCTATTAAGTAGCACCAGCTACTTGTATATGAACAAAACATAGCTTTGACGAAAGACCAGTTAAATGGCTTTATGTCACATTCTTGCTAAAAGAGCAGAGAGGAGAAGAGCTCTGAGTGCAGACCACAACCAGACCATCCCCTGAGCCACTGTCTCCAGTTTGGCGCTCTCTCTCTCTGTCTCTGGGAAGTCAGAGCTCACCCCATTCACCCCACGCAAACTGCACAGATCAGTTTATGCTCAGCAGAATGGGAAAGACAGTAGCATCCCTGAATATTTTTTCCTTTGTCTTCTGTTGCATATCTTGCCCAAGGAAGGAAGATGACATCTAATACAGCCTATTCTGTTATGCAAGCTTCAAAATCAAGTAAGAACTGAGACAAGTATTTCCTTTTCATATATCCCCAGACTTTGCACCTCGTCAACAAGCAAACCTGCCAGCCTTCTATTGCTGTCAGCACTAGTGCAGTTTGCATCAGTTATGAGCCTCTCTACATGAGCAGCTGTTAACTTATTTCTGAACACCCGCTTGCTGAGGACACTGGCCATCCAGAAACCTTGGCCAAATCGTTGTTGCTTATGAGCACATCCTTGACATGAGAAAAGCAGGTCCGAGGCTAATGATGGCTCCATTCATTGAATTAGGCACAGGGGCTGTTCCCTGCTCAGCTGTGTGGGAGGGATGCTGGAGCTCTTGTCTGCAAACTCGCTGATTTTGGACAGCTTGAGGCAATCTGCCTACTCAGTGTGGATGTACCAGAGAATATACTGCCGGTCGTTAAGATGATAACTCAATAGAAGTGTAATTTGTTGAGCAGTAAAGCTTCCTGCTTACGCAACTCGTGAGGAAATAATCTACAGCAATGTGGCATGGGAGGGCTGGAATTCAGGAAGTCAGTGACTATGACAGTGCTTAGCAAAATTTGCCTTTGAAACCTGGTGTTCACATTTCCAATTTAGTTTGTCTCTAGATTTCATACAAGTAAAGTTCTCGTGGTGCTGGGAAGGAAAGAGAAAAGGGGAGGGGTGAGAAGAAAGTAGAGCTAAAAGAATGAAATTAGAATTATACTGCATGCTGTGTACTGGCTATAAATCCCGCCTGCAGGAATTGTAGAAGCGGAGAAATAATTATCTACTATCTTTGAAACGCAATCTGCAAACTCCCAGTGTTGGATGGGTCCAATAGCGTAGAACAGCTGTGAGCAGGAATGTTTCAATCCGTTCGCTAAACCCATCCAGCTGAGGAGGGCAGGAGGGCTTGGGCCTGCAGGACAGGATGAGGTTTGCTTGGTATTCTGCAGCAGGGTGGAGGAGGAATTCAGCCTTGTTCTCCTGTGCCCTTTGCTTGTTGACAAGCTCCAGAGGGAGCTGTGGCTTGCCTTTTTGCTCGGAGATGATCTCACTAGCAGCAGAGGAGGGATAAACCTGGGGTCCCACGAATCTGTTTTTCTCTCTTTTTCTTCACTCCGATCCTTCATATGAAAAGTGAACTCAGCTTTTATTAGCTACCGTTAGAAAAAGTTATTTATAAAGCAGTCCAATGAAAATGCGTGTGATATACATAACATTTGATCTATTTGCTTTTAACGTTTGCAAGAATGTGTTGGGAATTCGTGTGAACATAGTGTTTAGAGTCTCATGAAATCAGTGAAATTCCAAGACAGCTACAGCTGTGCATTTTCATCAAAAAGGAATTTTAAACCACAGACAAATAGCTTTTCGTTATTACTGAAGCAGAGTATGTTTTCTTGATGCAAAGTTGATCCAGAAATGTATTTCATTTTGAAGTGCTGTCAGTGTTTGCCTCCTTATGCTCAACAAGACCGATTGTATTGAAAACAACGCGCAGCAAGTGAGGATGCAAGGTTGTACGACTGCTGATGCATAACCACACATTTCCTTGTCAGCTCTGACACCCTCCCGTCCTGGGTGTGGGTGTCTGGTTTGCATAATCACCAGGCAGTTATTTATCAGCAAACACACCAGGCAAAGCCTTATATTTTAGCTGGCAGCCAATCAGACTGGGTTGATTTACGCCTCTTTGGAGGTGATGTTTATTTACATAGAGAACAAGCACAAACTTTCAGGCTGAATGCTTTTCTCTGTTCACTGAAGAAGCAAAGATGATTAAGGCTGAATAGTGAAGGCATGGAGCTCCCACTCTGCCCTGCGAGTTCACAGCTGCCAGGCAGAGTATCAGCAACACCGAGCTGTACAGGGATGGATGTGAACATCCTAAGGCCTGTTGCTTTACATTTAAAATAAACCAGTAGCAAATTTGGGCTTGGTTTAGGAATAACCTATATTTGGTTGGCTGCCATGGCTTTTAGGTTTAACTATCTCCTCCAGTTGACAATCTGAAGCTGCCAAAAGCAAACAGAAGCTTTTGTTTCTCTGTCCATGCAGGAGAGATTTATGAAGGAAAGAGGCCTAAAAGTAGTGAGAACAGTGTCAAAATATCCAAGGCGTAAGTGCTCAAAGAACTGGTTGGAATTGTTCTTCTGTTCTCATTATGCATCATCGCTATCTGGTAACTCTGTAAGTGTATGTACATATGCAGTTAGTGATGCTGCAAAAGAACTACATGCTATATTAACTCTTTGGAACTTAGAATGAGTGTCTATGGTAATTTTTCCTCTGTGTTAAGGAAAATGCGTTGGATAATGGAATTTATTTTCCACTTTTTAATTTGCCTGTGTAAATAAGTTCACAATACATGGCTATATAATTCTAATCCTTAAATGTATGCCAAGTATGTCAGCTGACCAATCATGTCCGTGCTAAAATTCTACCTAAAACCAGATGCTAAAAAGGCTCAGAGAGCCTTTGGTGTCTGAATTCTGAAGTGTGGCTGAAGGCCACATCTGAGTGGTGTGTCCAGTTGTTTTCTCTGTTGGTTGGAAGGGTTTTGAGCTGAGGCTTACTGCTGCTGTGTGGCCTCCCCTCATGGGTCTGGGAGAGGAGAAACCCGGATCCTCTGGTAGAGAAACTGGTTCACACATTAGTGATGCAAAGGCATAGAGCTGTAACAGTAACTGCTTGCTAGGAAGAGCTGTGAACAATCTATTGGTTTCTATGCAGCACACTATCGGTCCCTGTACAGTTGATTGTAAACAGGAAAAAAATCTAAAATATACTCAACTTTTTTTCAGCTATTAAGTCAGGAAGCAAATAGTAGCTTTTGCTTTCTAGTTTCTCTTCTTTCATCCCAGACCCAGCGCCTTTCTTTAAGCTCTTATAACTTGAAGCTAAATAAAACAGATTATATCCTGGCTGTGGAAGAGGAATGGAGGCTCAGATTAAACAGCACAAAAATATTTTCACCATCTCAGGAAGCTTTGCCACAAAAGATTGTACCGAGGCAGGCAACAGAAACTTTTAAGCTTAGAAGTGCTCAGTGGGTTGGAAGCAGCAGAAATGTTTAGGGAAGTGCTTTGCTGGGCTGCAGTCATGATCAACTCTTTCTCTTTGATCTGTCTTCAGATGTGGTAGTATGTTCAGAGCAGGAAACAGCACTTTTCTAATGTTCTCTAACCTCAAAAACAAAGTGCCAAACATGCGTTTTTTCCCTCCTTTCTTCCCTCCAGCTTCTTTCTGCCAGAACAGACCATTCAATTGTATCCTCTGCAGCCAGGCAGAGCTGTGCGTCGTGATTCCCTCTGTTGAAGGAGAGAAGAGCAGTGGTGTGGGGCTTTTGTTGCTGGAAGGAATTTTTTTTACCAGCTTTTTTCTTTGTGTGTGAGAGACATAAAGTGCTCTGGAAACATACAGATTGTTCCTGCCAAGAATGGTTGTTTTTGCAGCTCCACTTTTGCCAACTTCAAACTGATTAAGAAATAATAATAATAATAATAAAAACTATTCATATATATGTCCTAGACTTTCTGAGTGACAGAAATTGTTGAATAATATTACTTGTAAAAATTTTCCCATTAAAAGAATAGAATATGAATACTGATGCTAAGGTGGAGAGGGAGTTTTCAGTAACGAGCAAAAGCAAGGCATGGTTAGCTTTTACTAATAATTAGTATGAGATTCCAATATTTTTAAGGTTCTCTGCTGCTCTGCCTTTGGCTTTATTTTTTTTCTCCTCCAAATCTTTAGCGCAGAATAATTAATTCATCTCCAAATACAACGAGAATTACTCACTCTGAATGCATGAAATATTTAAGGACTCTAACAAAATGTTCTGCTCCCCACATTGACCTGAGGTAGTGCTATTTTAATTAACAGGTTGGTACAAGACCTAACATAGAGTCATAATACCATAGAATCATAGAGTGGTTTGGGTTGAAAGGAACCCTTAAGACCATCTAGTTCCAACCCCCTGCTATAAGCAGGGACACCTCCCACTAGACCAGGTTGCTCACAGCCCCATCCAGCCTGGCCTTAAATGCTTCCAGGGTTTGGTCATCCACAGCCTCTCTGGGCAACCTGTTCCAGTGAACAGGTCTCTAGTCCTCTATGTGCTATGGTAAAAATAAAGATCAGTGAGAATAAATATTCCGTTGACCTTGCACTAAAGGAAGAAAAACCGTGTAGTTTTACAGAATGTTGGAAGTTTGTAACTCACTTTTCTGACATCTTCTTCCAGTGTAGCCCTCAGTACAGGAGCACACGTTGGTTCGAACACAGTGGCCACCATTCTTACAAGGAGGAATGCAGACAGCTAGAGAAAGAAAGGGAAAAGTTTGTTGCACTGAAACCACAGCAGGTGTCAATATCACCTAAATATAGGCTCTTTATTGAGGTGCGTGTGTTGGGAGAATGGTCTGCAGAGGCTTTTTGGTTATTTAGGGTAGAGAAGATGTCTCTCCAAAGGGTAATTCAGGCTGATGCTCAGCTGAGATTTCAGTTCTCTCTGGTTTGTGGAAGGAATGTGGGACACAACTCCTCACACCTAATCTCTTTTAGATACCCGAATCCCAGAGAACCTCTTTGGTTTTTAGCTCTAAATAAAGGGCTTCTCCAAGAGCAGCTGCTCTTGAAATATCAGTGTTTGTTATTTGATAACTTTGTTTTGGTGCTATTCTTCCCCCTTCCTCAATGAAGCCGGAGGAAGGGCTTTGCTTTTCTTCAGCATCCAGCCACTATCCAAATCAACTAGATGTTGAAAAGCACTTTCTGTGTTGAACATCAAGAGAAAAATCATTAAGTTACAGAGTCTGCATCATTTTTCCCTCTTTCCCTGCCATCATCACAAAAACAAAGAGCTTCCAGCAAGCTCTACTGTCATTAATCATTCACTTGCAAAAACATGTATTAGGATTGCATTCATGTAGGAACTCCAGGGAAACAAAGCAGAGAGAGAAAGAGAGATAAAATTTAATATTGAAATAGTTCATTTGGTAATAAGAGTGTATTTATATTTCCAGATTTGGGAGGGAGTTTTAAAGCCAAGTCAATGCAGGTGTCTTTCAACTATTTGAGCCCTAAATGTAAGTTTCTTCCTCACGGCTGTTGTGCTTGGTCTAATGTGTAGTTAAGAGGATTTAGTCTGATTGGATATTAGGAAAAATTGTTTCTCAGAAAGAGGGGATGGAGTCAACATCTCTGGGGGTGTTCAAGACCTGTGGAGATGGGACAATGAGGGACATGGTTAGTGGGCACGGTGGGGTGGGGTTGGACTTGGTGATCTTAGAGGTCTTCTCTAGCTTTAATGATTCTATGATTAATTTGACTTCTGTAGCACCATTAGCCTCAGATTAGAGCTCTCCTGTTTAGGAGATGGATTCAAAACCAGGTCCTACACAAAAATTAGGTTGTGTGTGATATTTGATCAGCTATTTGAGCAAAGACCTGAGGAAGTCCTGGGTAAGTCTCCCATCCATAACATGTTAGGATGGTCAAGCAGGTGATGCATTGAGGCCCATCTGAAGAAAAATCATCGTCTGGCTCTGAAACACACTGTAATGCCCACTATAGAATGTAAAATGAACAAAGTTGAGCCATACTTTAAAGTTTAATTGACTAGATGCTCATCGGTGATAGAATTGGCTTCACATAGCTTTAGATTAATTGTTTAGTTATCATTAATGCCATCCTAAGTAGGTGCTTGCTCCTTCACAGTACTGTTAAGAACACTTTAATGCAGATTTACGGCAGACCACAACATCCACAGAACACGCAGGGAGTTATGACAAGGCAAATCTCTCGATATACTGCGTGTGGGGGCAGGCAGTGATATAGGCTGCTGTTTATGTTTTAAGCCTGGATCCTTTATCAACATGATGAATAGAACTTTCTTACCTCTCTGGCACTGGGGCCCATAGAAACCGTAAGGACATGTGCAAGTATTTGGTCGCACGCAGATTCCTCCATTTAAGCATACAGGGTTGCACACAGCTGTATGAGAACGTAAGATAAATTTATTAATCTCTTATCACTCTGAACCTTTACATTAGGTGCTCTTTTGCTGTTGCACACGTCATTAGAATTAATATCGCTAGCAGTGCTGTGATAAATTTCACACGATCCTTGCTGGTCAGATGGGCTGTGGTATTTATTCATTGTCATCACAGTGGGTGCATTTCAATGGTGTTTTAGCATAGCTAGAGGGATGAAATAAAATATTATTTAATAGTTTATTACTGATATCTTCCTTTGACTTGCCCAGCTTCTTTGCTTTTATGTTGGTATCCTGGCCACCTGTGATCCCTGGGTAACAAAATACAGTCACACTGCAAACAGTCTGGATAACCTGGAAAAGAGATATTGGCCATTTGCTGCTTTGTCTGAGTGCAGCAGAGCAGAGTGGCATTTCAGGGAAACTGAATAGGTATGCACCACAAAACCTCTGTTTGTTCTGCCTCATTTAAATGCCAGTTCCCACAAACATATTGGCTCATGTATCATCAACAAAGCCACTGGCTTTGCCTGTTTATTTATCTGTTATTACTATAGATGATATAACAGGCATTAGGAACTAAAGGCTGTCTGACATATTTCTATGTGGCAAGTACCTGACTGTAGGAAAAAAAAAGAAAAAAAGGCATTTCAGCTGTGAATACTTTAGTTGGGAAGTCACTGTGTGAAGAATAAGGATGATTGTGCAGATTTTATTATAGAGCGGCACTTTAAAATAGGCTTTTTCCTTCTATCCCTTTTGTCTTTCAGTGTCTTACAGAATAGCCCATTAGATAAATTAAATAAATTTAAGCTTAAATAAATTAAGTGTCACTAAAATGTTTCAGAAGAACTAAAGGAGAAATAAAATGTCAATTTGGAGAAAGAAAAAAGTGAAATTGTAGATGAGAGCCTCTAGATGAGAGGCTATTCTGACTAAGCAGCAATCACTTAAGAAGTCAAAATGGACTTTGCTCATTGCTAATGGTAAATTTGGATTAGTTCCCTCTTTGTCCCAGCTAGTTCACAGATGTCCACACTCTGACAGTGTTTATATTTCCATCTGTAAAAATCCTTTAAGAAGGAAAGCCCAACAGTATCCATGGAATGCTCTGCCTAGCACACACAAAATTGTGCTGGAGAGCTGAGGCTGGTATTCTTTCATTTAAGGCATTGTCAGACAAACAAACTCAAAATCTGCAAAAATTACCACCTCTCTTGCTGCTGCTTGTGTCCTACCCTTAGAATAATCCTGTCTCCATGTGTTGCCAGTACACATGTGCAAAATGCAAGGAGAGTAATCTCTGACAGGAAAAGGAGGAGATAGGGGGATCCAGAATAGCTAGTGGCAATCCCAATCATTTACATTGGATATTAGCTAGGCTAATTTATGTGTCCTCAATAGGTCTGTCATTTAGAAAAATCTTAGGGAGAAGGATGTGAAGATGACATCCCTCACCTGCCTGGAGAGGTAATGTGGGCTGAAGTTGTCTTAGTCATATGATATTTGCCATGGGAGAGGCAGATTGCCCCTATAGCTTTGAGGTCTGGCACTGATTGAGATACTTCTCATGCTTGCTCCTTTTCATATTTCAGTTTTGCATGCCTTGTCCCAGATGAGTGCTATAGTAACTGTGCCTTGAGAGGAAAGTGTGTGTGCTCCATCTTTTAGTGCTTTGGTCCTGGGAGGAAGGTCTTAGCTACAGTGATTCTAATAGGGTTCAGAGCTACCAGTCCTGACCAGAAATAGGTACCTAATTCTGGGTCTTACCTTGGCATTTTGTGCTGACTGTTGGTGATGGTTTTTCCCTGAGTGCATGTTTTGTAGGTGCTTTGCATGTATTAAGCGCAGCTAAGAGAAGCAGTTAAATATCCTACAGTTATCAGGGGAAGAGGGTGGTTAAATTCTCCTTCTAAACCTACTTTTGTTCTGTCTTACACTGTTACAAGCCATCTTCTGGAACGGCAGAACTGGATCCAAGAAATAGACCAAAAAACCTTGATTAATAGACAGGCTTCTGATAACTTCCCTTCTTTTGGTTCATTTTTCTTCCGTAGACTACACAGTACTGGAACTGTAGCAATTGTAGCTGCTAACTTAGCAGCAGAAGTCATGCTGACCTGCTTGCATTGTCTTCCTAGCTTAATTAGCCCTCCTATTTCTGTCTCCATAGTCTCTATTTTGAAGCTCAAATTTTACTGTATCCTGTTACAAATCACCAAAAGCCAAACCATTCTTCTTTCTCCTAACTTTGAGAGAAAAGTGTAGGGCTACAAGCAATGAAACAAGGGAATTGCATGGATGCTGAGCAATGTGTTACCCTCACCACTGCCACCAGGGCACTGGGACCGTGGGGCAGGACTACTTCTTTGAGGTCTGCGTGGACAGTGCCAATGCAGAGTGAGTTCATGTCCACGGCCATGTTGATTTTTGAAGCATTTCCAGTGAAAATGCAAATCAATATAAAGCCAAAATCTCAACTGATAATTATTCTCATTGGCAGAAGCTACCAAGCTTCCCAAGGTTGAAACTGCTGACATGGTGAAGAACTTTGTTTTCACACTAAGGATAAATTCCAGCGTCACATGAGCTTAAAAAAAAGATGCAAAAAGATTCCGCTTGTGGCTTTCCTGTAAGTGACCCTGAGATTTAGCTAAACAGCAAAACTTATGAATACTCACATAATTTCAAGGCCTCCCGAGGCTTTGCCCTTTCCTATGTCTCCTGCTCTTCTTACATTTCAATTTTTCAAGCAATTCCCACTCTGTCTGCTGAATTATACAAATCACGTGGATTTCAGGCAGGAAAAGAAAGGAGTGACCAATGGTTTCTAACAGCTTACCTATTTCACAGGAAGGGCTGCTCCATCCACTTCTGCATTTGCACTCGTCTGGCGACACACAGACCCCGCCGTTATGGCAGTGCCTGTTACACACCACTGGAAAGCACAGAAAGCAATTTAATCTGTTATCAGTTATACTGATGTGGATCATAAAGATGCTCGATTACATTAAATAACTAATTGTTTTAGTCCAAAAGGTAAACCGAGGGATGATTGTGTCCCTTCCCTTGGTTTTCTTTCTCTCTTTGTTCATTCTTTCCATCAGAAGTCTTGCATCTAAAATTCTTTGGTGTTGAAGTATTCAAGCTACCCTGGCTCACAGATAAAATTATGTTCCTGTCAGTGGCAACCTGATATTTAAGTCAGCTGCAAGATCTGTAATGAAACTGCATTTGTTTCACCATTCAGCTTATATGAAACAGTTTGAAGGCTGATTTTTTCCCCAGACATTGAATATATCTTCTATGTATTAAACCTCTTTCATGGCTTGTTTTGCACAATAACATTACCCAAATAGGCTAATTGGCATGGCCTTTTTATGTTCTCACAATCACTATTACTGCATTCGCTCCCACAACCTCACATTTCATAAATGTTGCTATAAATAACATGGAGTTTTTTCCTTGTTTGTTTTTCTGGAGGCAATTTTATGTGGAATATGTTGACACAGATGTACATATTTTTACATAATACAGCTATGTTGCTGGTGAATATGTGTGCTGAAATAGTTCAGCTGCTGTATTGCTACAAAATATTATGCTTTGATTTCCTTGCTGTAATCAGTCAGCATTTTAGAGGGAAATATAGGAATATAAAAAGGCTTTCTTGTGCCTTATCATTTTATATAAATTCAAACATGCAAGGAGGACAGAAGGTTCAAAGAATTTGTACATACTTGTTTCACATCGAGGACCAACAAATCCATAGGCACAAGAACAAGTGTTCTGAGCTACACAAGTTCCTCCGTGCTCACACGGTGGGTCACACTGCACTGCAAAAAGCACAGAAAGAGTAAAGCATGAGAAAAAGCAAGCAGCTCAAGCACTGAGTTCGGTGCAGTTACGAGCACAGTACACGTTACTGATTTACACAAGCTGTTTTATTAATCCAACAACCAATTGTGCACTATAAAAACAGGTATCACATTAGTACAGGAGTGCCAACGTGATCATTTTGTTTCACTGCTGAGTGTGTCCATGTGTAAGTGCATACTTTTGAAGTGGAAGACTAATTACAAATGTGGTTTGTAATACTAAACACCTTGCCCATCCCTCAAAGTTATCCTCGTGGATAATTGGTGATCATCTCTCTTTATTTGGCATTTGGCATTGCTGCCTACAACAACCAAAAATGAGGCTGTGTTGAGGTGGGGATTGTTCCCTTTTCCTGGGTAATAGAAACAGGGCAAGAGGTCCTTAAGTTGCTCCAGGGTAGGTTCAGGTTAGGTATTAGGAAAAGTTTAGTCTCAGAAAAAGTGGTGAGGCATTGGCACAGGCTTCCCAGAGAGGTGGTGGAGTCACAATCACTGGAGGGGTTCAGGTACCATGGAGATGTGGCACTGAGGGCAGTGGCCAGTGAGCATGGTGGGGGTGGGTCAGTGGTTAGACTTGGGGATCTAAGATGTCTTTTCCAGCCTTCACGATTCTATGATTCTGTGTTCAGTGAGCCCTAACAGGTGTCAGAAGTTACCCCGAACAGAGGGTAACAACTCTGTTTTCTCTGAGTAGAAAAGGGTTGTAGGGAAATTTGTCACCAAAATGACCGACATTTAAACAACAATTTAGATGTTTGATAAGTAGTGTGTGAGCAGCAGAAAAAGCAGAAAGTTATATAATAAATTCTTGATGTCTTGCAGTCAGCAGTGTTATTCTGTGGAAGATAGCTTGAGCATAAAGCTGGAAGTCGTTGCAGCTCTGGAGACACGTTATTTGCTGAATTCAGAGGACTTCTGAGAGAGTATCAGATTGCTTAGCTGTTTTATTTTTATTTTTTCTAAGCACTTATGATTCCCATCTAGAGTCTGATTTCAGCACATTCCTAATGGCTTTAATTCTTCTGGGGTCTGAAAGATTTAATGTCCTAAACTTAATGTTTAAGGTAGAGACCTAACATTTGGTGTCTGTATTTGTAACCCTCTAACAAGAGGTATTCTTGTATGACAAGTTCAAGAGAGTAAAGAGGTCACTGCCATAGGAAGTGCACTGAACCTTATCCTAAGAAGTAAGAGCAAGGCGTATGTGTCAGCTGGAGCTCACTTATGCCCTCAGAAAAAAAAAAAAAAAATAAAAAACACATCATATAACAGTGTGAAAAATATCTATCCATGTGCTTGAGGAGTGAACACAGAGAAAAATGTTGTACTTTGGCACATTTTACTGGCAGAGATGCATATTTTATAATGGGTCTGAAGCTAAGCAAGGTTATTTCAAGGAAAATGCATAATAGCGAAGAAGCTACAGAGATCTGAAAGAAAGCATCTTTCATTTTAAGTATTGTTCGAAGGGGAAAAAAAAGCCAAAGTACATTTTGTTCTTAAAACTGGAAAATGTAGTGCATAATTGGAAAGCTGAATGAAGGACAAATATGTGTGGCACCACGGAATTTCAATGCAGCTCATGCATTGAGGGCCTCCTCACCTTTGTGCTGTCACCAAGCCTTCAAAGAAAGCCATGGCGTGTGAACTTTGCCATCCAAATGCTATGAGAGCCACCACACATTTCTCAATTGTCGTTAAAAAGACAAGCTCCAAGAAATTAACTTCAAATAACCCCCTTCCACACAAATAATTTTAAAGAAATACATCTGGAATTAGATCTGCTCTTCAGGTACTTCAGTATTTACATTTTTTGCTACCGTTCAGTTTTAAAGGTGAAATTCCCAGTACTGCATTAACATAACTTTAGGATTTGACATGCCTGAGCACAGAAAACTAGATATAGTTCAGATCCATATTATTCATGCTGAGAATGTCATTAAGCTAAATTCAGATTTGATTTGATGGGCTATAAGGTTTAGACATTTGCAATTCAGCATGTGTTTAGCTGAAATTTGAAGCGTACATTTGGGGGAAAAAGAAAGGAATAAAAACCCCACATTTTCTGGGCAGCTGAATAGGTTTGGTTTAGATCTATTTAAGCAGTTAGCATTCTGCTTTCCCTAAGTCCTAATCCAGCCCTAGCAGCTGCAGCAGGTCAGAGGCTTGGGCAGCCTGGGGCCTCGTGCTATTAGGACAAGCAGCAGGTAGCAGGCCGCGATGAAACAGCAAGGGGAAGAAAGGCGGAAGAAATGGAAGCTGTTTTCAAAGGAATTTGTTACCCTTTTTAAATGGCAGCACTATATTTATGTCACCTCTCACATTCAGAGACTTATGACAGATGTTGCTGAAGTTAAGGGCAGCATTCTGCTTTGAGAGGGCATCCCAGCCTGACCGAGGCAAATGCACACTTGAAACATTTAACTCTTCTGTGCTTGGGGAAGCACAGGACATGGTTACAAGGGATTTATCTGAAATAAGAAATTAGCAGCAGGTTGAACTGAATGATATAAGGGGCTATAAGAAAGAAGGGGACATACACATACTCAAGGGACACGTGTTCAAGATGTACTAAGGGACATAGGTTAATGGGGAAATATTAGTGATAGGTGGATGATTGGACTGGAGGATCTTGAAGGTCTTTTCCAACCCTGGTGATTCTATGATTCTGTGACTCTATGCTTTATCAGGGTCTGTTGTGATAGGACAAGGGGAAATGGTTTCAAACTAAAAGAAGGGAGATTTAGATTGGGCATAAGGAAGAAGTTTTTTCAGGGAGGATGGTGAGGCGCTGGTGCAGGTTGCCTGGAGAGGTGGTGGATTCTCCATCTCTGGAGATACCCAAGGTCAGGGGGACAGAGCTCTGAGCACCTGATGGAGCTGTGGGCATCCCTGTTCATTGTAGGAAGTTGAACCAGATGGCCCTTAAAGGTCCCTTCCAACTCAAACGGTTTTATGGTACTCTGTGTAGAGACAGGGAAACACAGAACCTGGGAAAAATGTACTGCTCTTTGTGAAGTACATGGAATGCGTTTCCTTTCTGGCAGTACGATGGCTGCATAAAGCCTCCAGGTGCCTCTGCACTATGCCAAGCTCAGTGACATTCAAACGCATTACGCTTTATTTCAACGTGTTTTGTACATAGCACTTAGAGCGAATGTGTCCATTCGAATAGACTACTTTCCATCTGCTCTTTACACATTTCGAGATGCATCTGAACTGTCAGGAAAGAACATGGTGTTTTGTATATTAAAACATTTTGCTCTTATTGTGACATTTAATAGCAAAATGTTTAAAACTATTCTATTACTGGTGAATAGCGAAAGATAAAAACTGAACACTGGCTGCACTGGGAAAGGGAGATCAACATTCACCTAAAAGACATTTTTCTCAGTAATAGAAATATAGTGTTCATGTCAAATTCTTTTCCAAGACTTCTATCTTTCATCTTCTAGAATGAACATTTTTTTTCCATAAACATTTGCTAAATTGTACAAAGATATTGCGGTGTTTTTATACTAAACATTTTCAGATGGTATAAGATAACAGTTAAGAGAAAAGCATTGCTGCAAATGGTCAATCTTGCTGTCAGATGTGTTTATGTTTTTGTTTATAATTTAAAGTCTGGAGGTGAAAATGGAGAATTCCATTATTGTTTTATTTGAAAAGGCTTTTTGGAAAATATCTTGAAACGACTTTTTTTTTCCATTAAAATGAGATCATGCACTTTTTATGTGTTTCTCCTCCATAACTTTGGGGCAAATCAGAAATACGGGATGCTGCGCTGCTTTCTCCATTTGAGATACTCTAATCAGCAAATGGCTTGCAGGACAGTTATTGGTTCACACCTCAGCAGTGAAGAACTGCTGCTCAGTCCAACCAAAAGGGCCCTGGACTTGCACATAGGCAAGGCTTATAGCTGTGAGGTTATCACCTGCAGCTTTTGTTAAAAATGTGAAAAACAATGAAGTCAGGAGGAATTCACAAGGGAAGAGTGTAGTCTGCTTTGTTTCCTTTAATTATTACACTTATTTTCTTTCAAAGGTGCGCTAGCCTACTTTACTAAAAGTGTAGATGAAATTTGAATATGTGCAGCACAAGGGAGGGAAAAAAAGTGAAATAAAGTTATGTTGCAGGCTCTCCAGTTTTTATTTTCCCCTTTAATGGTTATGAAGCGAAGCCTTGCTTTTGAATGTCTTTTACAGAGAAAAACAGTAAAGCATAGGGTTAAAGTATACGCTTAAAGCATGCATTAGTGCAATTAAAAGATGCACACTTGTATAGTCCAGTAGTCCAGAGTCCATTTATGAAATAAATACCCATCATAACAAATAGAAAATTAACAAGATTAACTTGACTGAATAAATTGGGAGTACAAATGCAGACAACAGTTCTGATTAGGCTATACTAATGGATTTTGTTTTGTGAAATGTCAGCTGAGTGCTCATCTGCAGTCAAAAAAGCAAATAAAATGTTGGGAATTGTTAGGAAATGAGCAGAGCACAAAATGCCAGACTTTATTATGGCCTGTATCCATGGTGAGCTGCATCTTAAATACCATGTGCTATTCTGATCCCCCAGCACAGGAAGGCTATATTAAGAATGGGAAAGATACAAAAATAAGAAGTAAGGATAACCAAAGTTGTGGAAAAGGTTTTGTATGTGTAAATAGATTAATTCTTTGGGAAAAAGACTACGTTCTCTACAGACACTATGTTTTTAGTTGGTAGGTCGGTGGACAGCAAAATTTTATATGGGTTCAAAAAGCACTTGGATAAATTCATGAAAGAAGTACTTGTTGGGAAATATCACTTATAAAGACTTCATGTTTGCTTTTTAAAGCACACAATGCATAAGTTACTGGGAGTATTCTATTCTGGACAGTATCTTTATATTTCTTTCCCAAATAATTCCGGGCATCTGCTGTTAGCAGCTGCTGGATACAGGGGATGGACTTTTGGTTTGTTATGGCAGAGCTTTTTGTGTGTAAAAATGTCAGACCCGAAAAATGTCAGCTCTCTGATTTTTAAGCCTAGTTTCATCCAGCTGCATATCCTGAGGTCGTAATACATTCCCAACTACTTTTTCTTTCCCATTATTCTGAAAATTATTTGGTTTTGTAATGCCATGGCAATGGTGTATTTTAACCCTTGAAAGAATGCACGACTGCTACCATTTGAGATTTCCCTTTCCCTTGGAAAAAACGCTCTACGAAGTCTGTAAGACATCCCAGAATTTTACTGACTTAAGGTTAAGAAAATACTTGTTTCTAAAGTAGTACAACTTTATTCTCCACAGGAATTCTAAGGAACTTTTGTCTATTAAAAACTAGAAAGATAATAGTCCTTAACTGTCAACTAATCCAAAACTGTTTTAAGTAATTGTTTGTATTTTACAGAACTGAGCCTTTGATTTATTTTAGTTTTAGTAATCAGGCATTCCCTATCAAATAAAGTTGGGTTTTGAGAAATAAAATCAAGAACGACCAGGAATTTGGCTTAATTCCTAATTATTCTTTACTCTTCAGGTTTAGGTCTCTTGGAAAGAAGCACAAAAATGCCCAAAGCAGATTTTTTTGTTAGCTTCAACTCTGTTATCAAGTGGAAAGGACATGTTCCACCTTAGGGCACCCTAAGGAGCTCAAGAAATATAACAGCTGCTCTCAGACAGTACCATATGCACAGACCCTGGTGAATAAAATGAGCCTAGGGAAAAGACAGCATTTGTCTCCTCATGCAACGGATGCAGTGTCACTGAAAGTGCAGGCCTATGCCCCTGTTCTGAAATGGAGAATGGAAACAGGATGACCAGCAGTTGACCTCAGGTGGTAGCAACACTAATGTGTATTTCTGAGCATTACCCTCTACCCTTACACAGTGATGTGTTCCATGTGTCGCTTACATTGGGCTAAAGAAAATATTAGAAATGTTCTGAAAATAATCCTATTTGAACTCACTATTCATTATGAAAGGATTCGTTTTTAATTCTTGCCATAGTGAGCTGAAATATTTAAAGTTCTGCAGGCGTTAGGACATTCCTACAGTGCAGATCTGGCAGGGACTGTCCCATAACATTGCTAAGAGCCTACCATAATAAAATATTATTTTTATAGCATTTATTTTTGTCATTGGAACACGTTGCCCAGGGAGATAGTATTGTTACCCCTGGAGATGTTCCAGAAAAGGATAGATGTTACAATGAGGGACATGGTTAGGGAGCATGCTGGGGATGCGTTGATGGTTGGCATTGGTGTTCTGAGTGGTCTTTTCTAATCTTAATGATTCTATGATGTGTGTAGTGATATGTAGAGTAGAAATCACAGATTTAGTAACCTTCCTCGTTCCCAAAGGGACTCTTGGAAGTTTACTCTACAAAGAAAAGCAAGCTTCTGCAAGTGAATGTGCAGAAAAATCCAGTGGACAGCAGTAGGCCTTATTTTTAAGTATACTATAGGTAATGTCAGCTTTCTCCAAAGTGCTGCTCCAGAACAATATTTGCCAGGGCCTTGCCAATGAAGCAGAATCACCTTGACATTAGGACATTGAGAACTGATAACTCTGCATGAAGAAAAAAGAGCTCTAAAACTGAGAACCTAGCCAGCTATAGGAAAGGGTGAGGAAGTGATGAGTAGATCCTTGAGGAACTACTTTTGGTTCACCTGCTGAGCAATTGGCTCCTGCCAGAAATAAGAGAATTCACTCTCTAATGCTTATTTTGCAAGATGGGTAAAAACAAGTTCCTATGTTTTAGATATTAAAGAAACAAAATCCAGCAGAATTTATTTTAGAAGACAAATTCATTTTCACGATGCGTTTATTTTCTCCCTACCGGTCTCTGCCAGCTTGATTTTGAATCTGCACAACTGAAAAATAAAAAAATCTACATTCTGTCACAAGATAAATGCCACTCGGTAAAGCATTTATTATCTTAGAATATTTTCAGACATTCTTATTAAACAAAGGTCAAATCCCCTCAAGCTCCACAGGTATTAAACCTTGCTACCAATGGACTGCTCCTTTTATCCCGGTGAATTTCGATATCAAATGGCATGGTGACAACTCTGTGCAGAAAGTTTGGTCTCATCTAAACTTTGGTCATTTGTTTAGTTTTGCTGCCATCTTAGAGGGTACTGCTGTTTTGAAGGCAATTGGTACAATAGACAGCAGGCATTGTGACAAGTCCTTAATTACTGCAAGGGATTATCCTCACCTTTGTGCTCTGAGTTGGCAGTCACAGGTGTGCAGAGGGGCTTGGGAGGAGGCAGAGAGGTTTGCTGTTGAGCCAGGTGATGTGCTTAGTGACAAGAGACAAATAAAGGATGTTTGTGTGCTGTGACGCCAAGCCCCGAGACAGAGAATGATATTGGTAATAAAGTATTTCATCTTAAGGACTCTCCGGAGGGATTTTCAGAAATACCAGTAATTGAAGAAAACATCTTGTCTTAGGTGACAGCAAGAAGCACAGGTAGATTTATGTTTTAAGGACTATGCCGATGGACATACTAAATATATTTATACAAGGGCAGCCTATGTCTGTGTTTGTATGCATTCATGTGTCCATAGGCCATGTCTTTGAGGGGAGGCCATTCTGCACTCCAGCTTGCACTGGGCTTCCTGATACCCAGAGCTCCTCAGTATGTTTCCAGCTCCAGGCATACAAGAGGGGTGAAAGACAGGGTCTCTCTCACACCAAGTAACCTTCAGCCCTTTAGAATAGTCACTTCGAAAATGGTGTAAGCAGGTGAAAATGGTGACACACAGGATTATAGTAAACTTTTCTTATGCGTTTTTGCAGTGTGTCTCCAGGACTGAGTGAAGCTCAGTGCTCCTGGGGTTTGTGCACAGCAGGGAATCCCCAGGATGCTGAGCTGGGCTGCCACCCTGCACGCCTCTGTGGCATGCATGCAGAATGTGAGCAAGCACACACAGAGAGAATTAAACAGGCGATGCAAACACTTTTTTGCTTTGTGTACTGAAAGGCCAATTAAGACATCAACTTATCAGAGGGATTTCAACAAAAGGTGTAATTAACGAGAGCTAAGTCAGGGAACTCATTGTTTTAAAAATGTGTGAAATACTATTGCTTTTCTGAGGTGTTCTAAGCTGTCTAATAAACAAGTCAATATATTGTGAAAACCTTTCTGGTGCTATCTCTTTTGGATAACAGGTTTGGTTTTGTATTTAGGATATTAGATAATTATTTAAAAGTAATTCTTAAGATAGTAGAACAATTAGTTTTTATAGAGTATTGTTGTATAGACAAATGGAGTCAATTTTACTCTTTCTCAGAGAAGTTTTGTATGGTTTCAAGTCTAATGATTTCACTAGAATGAATCTGGCCTTAAGCAAGGGTAAGCAAGAACACAATCTATCTCTGGTTTCAATAGATTAGATATTATCAAATAAATGCATCATTTTTGTGCACAGAAAGGTCTTTTTCTGAGTTATAGGATAACTTTTTCCATTATTCTAAAATATAATTGGTTTTGAAAACCGGTATGATTCCAGCTTGCAAAAATCTCTACATTTGTAATCAAAATTATTTATTATTTTGGACAGTGATTGGATTTGAAGGCATGAAAGAATCTGAATGAGGATTTCCCCCCCTTACCTTCACATGTAATTCCATTACCGCTGTATCCACTGGGACAAGACCCACATTTAAATTCTCCATCTTTGGCTAGCTCACACTGCACACCACTAAAGCATGGTGTTGAACCACAGAGAGCTTTCTGATGGAAGCCACTGACAGGTTTTGGCAGTTCCACATGGTCCATTGCTACACTGGATGCCTTTCTGAAGGCTGTGGTATGTGCTGGAAGCCTTGCTGGGGGAGCAGGTCCAGGCAGGAGGCTGGCTCTCTGTGAAGCTGTGTCAAGGGAAAAACCTATTTCATGCAAAGGGGATGTGAGGGTTGTTTCTAAAGAAGCCGCTCTCTGCTGCTGTGTTGGAAGATTTTTGGAGAGTTCAGTCTTTGAGCCTGTAACTTGACTGGGCCATTTCCTGGGAGATAAGCTGTGTCTGGAACGAGCTTGCTGAACAGCATGCAGTCGTGCGAAGAATGAGCTTGCATTTGTGTTGAGATGAGAAGGAATGGTCCGTCTTGTTCCTGGCTTGTATTGTTTAAAATGCACAGGGGTAGGAGTAGTCACATTGACAGCTGCTGTTTTGGGATCTGGCTCCTCATGGAGAAGGAAGGTGTGTATATGACTTCTTTCTTCAGTAAAAGTCTGTTTTTCAGATACAGTGGACTCCATATCAGGTATTTGTGCTGACAGCGTCTGAGGCTGGGAAATCTTCCTTTTCGTTGTAAAGGATGCTCTATTAATGACTGTGTGGTTTCTTTCCACAGAGTACATAGGTTCTTGCCTTGGAATTTGGGTTTGGGAAAGAAGGGAATAAATGTTTCTTGATGTCTTGCCTTCCTGATGAGAGCCTCTGGCATCTTCACTTTCAGCAACATCTGTATGGCTTTGGGAAGATCTTGAAACTAGGGCAGAAGGAAGATGTATATTAGTCAAATTTGCTAGTCTGTTGTTTGAAGAAAACACTATGACCATTTAGATTATAAGCAAACAACAGAATATCAATTCTAGAAGAAAATGAGATAATCTGTCATCTGTGCTCAGTGCATATCTATGCTGGCTGGTACAGAAATAGCACAGTGTATCTTGTATGTGTAATAGCGTAGGGAACTGCAGAATAGCTGTTTATGAATGAGATGAAATATGTTTATGTTGGCTTAATACAGAGCCTAAGACAGTACGTCTTTGTGAAGGTCAGACAGACATAATTCTTTGAGGTTACAGGTCACAGCTTGGCAAAAGCACTTTCCATGCTGGTTTACCAGTTTTAGCCTATGTTAGTCCATGTTATTTTGACACTGTGTGCCATTCTCTGGGGCACTGTTTAGTTTGTTACCACCTGAGCTAATATTTATTTCTGGTTACCTGTGTATATTGCAATAGTGTACGGAGAGATGTTCTGCTAGGCAGTACATAATGCAGAGACTTTGCATTCAAGCTCCTGCAGTCTAGGAGAAGGATGAGACAATGCAGTTTGGGACACACAGAGATCAGAGATGGAGAAGTAAAGAAATGATGAGACAGTCCCTGGCAAGATCATGTCTTAGGCAGATTCAAATCCCATCATGTCATTGTATGACTTTTGTGGTTCTTATGGCAAAGGAAAGTTTGAGGAAAACATGTAAAGGAGACAAATGGAAAAGCTTTGTTAATAGTGTGTACAGCTCCCTCCAGGCGTGAGGGGCAGCATGTAAGAAAGAATGCTGGTTTGTAACTGTCACCCACTTGTTACAAAGCCAGCCACCTTTTCCGTTGCAAGGAGGGATGATAGATGGAGAGAGGGTAGTCTGTGAAGAGCCTTGGAAGTGGAGACGAGTAGTTTGAATCAATACTTTCAGGAAGATTAATGGCTATCTGCTGACTCTAATGAATGGAAGAAGCTATTTTTAACCAGTTCTGGCATACTCACTCCATAGGAAACAGAATATATTGGATTCTGAACAAAAAAACCTCATGAGGTTCTAGAGTTAACCCTGTGTAAGGTGTAGCTCTACCTTTTGAATATAAATATTAATCAATTTCATAAAACTCCTGTTGATGTAGAAATTAGTCATAGTTAGCAAGGAAAGAGATTAAGACACTTGGTGAAGGTCAAAAAGAAACTTGGAACGTTGACTAGATCAAAGGAAATCCTCGCAACCAAAGCTGTGTTAAGCAGTATCATTCTTCTGCTGGCAGATGAGTTTTTGTTGCCCTGAAGCACGATGTTTTAGAGTGGTGTGTGATGCTGGATCAAGCTATGGACATCAGCAGTAGGTAAATACAGGGCTTTACTGTCCAAGACAAGGCTGATTAATGATGCATTTCACGGAATGGAAGAAAGGAGATCTTCAGCCAGGAAGGACATCAGCGACAAGAGTATGAAAGATTAAAGTTAAAGGATTTGTAGCAGTGAACCCGAGAAAGATGAAAGAAATATCCCCGCAGAAAGTTATAAGTAACAGATGATTGTTGCTGCCTTTACAAAATTTGATTCAGGGACCAGAAGTAACATGAATGGTAGTGAATGGCCAAATGACCTCTCTGACAAATTTCCCAAATGAGCCCTGATTACAGCTTTAAGCTCCTTCCACTGTATTGTAATCAAATGTTTTTTCATCCTGGATGAATTTTAGTAACTACTGAGGGGATCTACTGTCTACCTGAGTGAGGAAATCTTTTAATTCCTTAAGAGATGATGTAGGTGATATCATCTTGCAAATAATTTTCAGCCTTCCCTGTAAGTGAGAACGTGCTGTGGTTGGAGCATATCTATGACAGTGCAGTTTTTATATCTCAAATAGAAATACCTATGAAGACCAGTGATAGACTTTGGTTGTTTGTTCACCACATGTGCAGATTAAGGTTTCTTATCACGTTATTTCAATGGACCACCAAATTTCCTAACATATTGTCATGGGAACCTGGCATTGATCAAATATGGCTGGTTCAGTGTCCTTTCGGCTTTCATTATTTCTTATTTTTACTTACAAAGATATGTGACATTTAGTTCGGATTAGAAACTGATAAAATTATTCTGGTGTACCTGAAAAATTATTTCTGCATTTTTCCAGATACCTAAATACTCCAAAACAAAGAAATATACCCAAAGCCTGCAGGCTCAGTTGTCTGTAGTCAGCAGCTTTCTCAAATTCTGTATTACTTCAATTTATTTTCCTTGCAGTCGATCGATATCTTCAAATGTATAACCCATTATTAATGCAGAAATGTGATTGTGTGAATCTGGTTTTCTCTGTGATGCTACTGTATGATTACATATTGGACTGGATGAAAATAACAAAAAATTGACAAGACAAAGTGCTCAAGGTTATACAATGGTACAAAAATACATTTTCAATACCTAAGTATTTCTGCCTGTACTAACTGGGATATGTGCAGCAGTGGGAGCGACTGCTAATTCTTCAGTCTTGAATAAGTGACTGAGAATCTGATGCAGTGTGTGGAAAATACTCCATTCCTATCAATGGAGATAAACCACTGTAAGGACAGTGTAAGGCTCCCTGTATGGCAGAAAATAGAACAAAGGAGACCAGATTTTAGAGAAATAAATCCATCCCTCATCCAACTCAACACTGGTATATTTCCATCTATCTGGAGCTGGAAGTCCCCCACATGAGAACCCCTCCACCATTGGTTTACCTACCCAGTGTTTGAAGTTCTTTGTTTTGCTTGTATTAAGCTTATACATCAGAATCATCATAATCAGTATCTGGTTCATGCATGCCAAAGCCACAATGATGTTGTTAAAGTAGAGCAAATTCTGATTTCTTCTCTTGCCTGAATGGCATTTTATAGTACCTACTAGTTATCCATAGATGAATTGGATCATGTTCATTCTGAAGGTAATAAAACAGCTATAAAACCTAGTGAAAATAGCAGTTCACAAACACAGCAGACACTCAACAGTCTCTAAAATCCAAGCTGAGTTGTCATCACTGAAACACAGAAAAGCAATCTAATCTATTTTCTCTCTTTTTAGTTTCTAGCTATTTTTTGCATTTGCAAGCTTTCAGCAATCGGCTATGTCTAGACTTGAACTGGGAAAAATCCCATCCCTTTCTGGCATCAGTCATTTCTCAGAGAGAGAGAATTTCATTCTCTGCCTGGGACAGAATGGACCATGCCAGTGACCTTATTTGTCTGTGCTGTTCATCCAAGTCTTCACTAGTCTTAGACTCAGTCACCTTCAAATAATGCCCTGGAGACACTCTGAGCCATAGCTGACAGCTCACACTCTTGCTGTAAACTTCTTATAGATATGAGTAGTTACTACAACTCCATTGATGTGCTTCTCTTCACAGCTATTAGTTAAAAATTTAAAGTTTTTTTTTTTTTTTTTTTAAATGTAAGCATGCTTTTTTATGTAATCACATCAGCATTGCCCTGTGGTCCCTGTGTTGTAATCCAGGTGTTGCTTTGTCCTTTAATCCACTAAAATTCCCAAAACCAGCCTACTCTTCAGCTGAAGATTGGTTCCTTCTTCTTAGTGAGATCATCTGTCTGTGTTCTCTCTCCCACCTGTCAGTTTGGAGCATTATGGACACCTTCAATTCTGATCAGGTTGCAACTGCTTCAGAATTCTGAGAGTAGTATAAGAATTCATCTCATTATTAACACAATTCAATAAATTTACAATTTGTGTAGTTTTAGAGCTATTAACATTTAGTAGTACATGCTGTGTAGCACATTTCTCATTCAGAAGAACCTCGACAGAGAAATGCTCTTCTGACATATTACACTATGTGGGTCATCATTTAAAATTTGAAACATCCACCAGCACATACATCTTATTTAAAATGTCAAGAGAGAACAGAAAAATTACACTGGTCTAAGAAGCCTTGTTACCAGGGCACTGGAGATCAACCATTTATCTCTCTGCTATGCCACATTAATATTTTTTCTGTGTTTACTTGGTGAGAAAGGGGAAACAGAGCAGCTGTCAATAGGAAGCTCTAGGGAAATTCTGTTTTTCCATCAGCTCTTAATTTTTATTTGATGAAGTTCTGGCATAACTTTTTTCTCTATTCAGAATTTATTTAATTGCTACAGCTTTTCTTTGGCCATCCAAGCATGCCCTAAAATCTTCCCCTCCCGAATATCCAACAGTAAAACTTTGATTCTCCCTTCCTTGCTCTCAAGCATCCTGAATTTCTCTACATTTGGAAGTTGATTGAACTTCCCCAGTCACTGAGATCCCTTTGCTTACAATCGCAAACAGTAACTTGCAAAACCTTCAACTGGAAAAATCCCTCAACTCCTTTAAAATAGGTGCAGCTTTGACTTCCTAAGTTGTACAGAGGGTGTAATCCCAGGATTATTTTTATAGTTTTTCAGACTTAGATTGGAATTATATTACAAATTTAGACAGTAGCTTCAGTTTAGAGACCATGATGCTTTACCCATGTTTTGCTGACAAAAATTGAAAAGTCACCTACAGTGTAAAAGAGTTTGGGTACACACTTCACATTCAAAATAAGCACAGGCAAAAGTTAATCCCCTCCTTGAAAAATATGGAAATAGAAGATATCAGTATTTTCTGTAAGAGGTGCCTAGATCTGGAATTCACCAATCAGAAAGAGATGTGAAGCTTATGCCTATGCCATTCACTGTGCATAGGTGGACAGAATATGTCAGACTGTAGCCAGGCTATTAGGCTGATGCAGCTCAACAGCTTGTGAACCTAATGTGCTTTGCATCCAGACAGATCAGCACACGTGCAAAGCAGTTGCACTGCTCTGCATCTGTCTGTATAGGCACATTCAGCCTCAGTAAACTCTGGGATCCCAAACCATCACTTCTGTGTTAATTCACTTTTTCGTTGCCTTAATTATAAAACTAGAAGGAAAGCATCTAGTTCACTCTCCATGAACTATGTTTCAGCCTGGAAGAAAATGAGATTCTGTTG